CCCCCCCCACCCCCCTGCTTAGGATCTTTGCCATTGATCTTTGTTAGGGCTGCAAAGGCCCTCCCTCAATTCCTGCTGCCTGTGAAAAACCTCCCTATGCTTTCAGGCACAGCTCAAATGTCACCTCCTTCACAAAGCTGTCCCTTAATTTCCACCAACCTGCAGCGTGTTCTTTTGGTACCTTTCTTATGGCCCGCGTTCAACAAATACTACATGCCTACATATTATATGTGGGTCACTACGCTGGCTGCTGTTGAGACTATGAAGATGGGCAAGACCTCCTCTGGGATCCTCTAGGCGTTCATAAACCCATTCTGCATTAGATAGAGATTTTTCAGCAGTGACCTGACCTCCCTGCACTGGATTGTCAGTTCCTTGAAGGCAGGCAGCACCTATGTCTTATTCACCTCTTTGATCCTCAGACTATGGCAGCTGTCTGTTAACTTTGGTTGACTTGAAGTCCCTGACCCAGGAATGTCAAGTAAGCCTAGTTTCTCCAGTTTTTCTTTCTCTATAGTAGAGTTTATTTGTTTTTAAATTCAGGGAATCAAAAGAAAGGTTTTTGGATTCTATTTCTAGCTCACTAGATGATTCCTTGTGACCTTTGGTAAGTCACAATATCTGATTCAGCTTCTCTATTAGGGCCCGCTTGGGGAAAAACACTCCACGACAAAGGGAATCATTCAATTGGGATAAGTTTTTGAATGGGAAGTATGCAAAACTACTATTTTTGTTTAGTTTTTAACAGAAATAGTATTTGTGCATACTTTCTGGAGAGAGAGCATATGGTTCTTAACATTACGTGCTTTCAATAGTGATATTGTTAGGTGGTAAGTAAAACAGGGACATTCAAATTCCATGGAAAAAATGGTAGAGAGGGCATGAAAAAAAGGATCTGGATATATGTTATGAATTTGATGTCATTCAGAGAACCCAAGGTTATTGTCATTGCCATCAAATTATCCTTATTAAGAGTCTGGATGTATATCTGGCACCATGGGAGAAGTTGTGGAATGATCTCTAAGGGTTCTAACAGCATCTTTGTGGAATCCATGGGAGTAATTTAATTGGCAGATGGCTTTTGCACATCCATGATGGAAAACTCTATACATTGAATTAAAAGAAAAATGCCCAAGACTGCCCCAATGCTTATTATAATGCTTTTTTTTCATGGACTGACATAGAAAGGAAAGAGGGGCCTTGTTCTTTCCTGATGGAGTCATTGCTGTCTGATGTCTGAAGCCCTGTGTTCTGGAGATAGGAGAAGCCTTGAGTGGAGATCATCTTTATCAAACCCATATATGGAAGAGACAAGAGGGGTTACCTGGGAAATATATCTAGAAACTAACCACCATTATGATAAAAAAAAACTTGAGAGGTTTGTATTTTTAGCTGATGATAGCCCCTCAGCCCAAGCTCAAGGATCTTGTGGGCTTGGCTCTGGAAGAGAAGGCTTCAAACAGGTGTTGCCCTCTCCTTAGGTGACCTCTTTTCCTCCAGAGGGTGTCAAGTAGTACACTCATTTCACAGGTATGGGAAGATGGGTTTAGAGAGAGCAATAGAAGAAAGGCAGCTGCAATGAAGTAGATACTCTGGGAGAGGACCGAAACCCCTAGCATCAAAGTGCTAAACAAATTGGAGGCAGGGTGCCTCACGGAGGTATAGGAAGAGAGAATGTTCTGCCTCCATCTAAGAAGATAACACTGCTGATCCTCTGCCAGCAAGATAGAGCTGCCGGTTTAGGGTTATTTGGAACATGTTCTCATTGTGAATATCTACTATATTGTTACCCATATTCTCCTGCTTCAGTTCCCTCTTTGCCCAAGAGCACACAGTTGTAACATGGTCAGCTGGTGCCAGAACTTACTTGTAATGTAACAGAACTCAGTTTGACTGGGATTGTGTCTCTTGATGTGGCTGCATTAGCACCTGGCTTTAACTAACCCATGAATAACCTATTCTTTGTTGAAGCAAGCTGGCTATAGGTAACGACCAAGTCTGGGTTCCCAGACATCTCTCCACCTTTGCCAATGAAATATTATTCCCAGGTTCTGCTTATCTGTTAGGCTAGGGGACAGAGATGATTTAGGAATGTCCCTGTTTTATGATCCAGTTTGACATGGCAGCTGGCTGGTCCCAGCCTTGGAGAGGCACTGTTTGGGGCCAAAGGAAGTAACAGGCATTGGGAAGGCAGCAGCTGTATCTAAGGCAAACGTGTTGCTCTATTCCCCTCTCTGGCTCTCTCATGGCATTTCTCTGTTTCTGTGTTATGTTATGCATTTATTTTGGCACTTGTTAACTTTATCTACTAGACTCTGCAAAGACAGAAACTCCTGTCACATACTCTGCAGAACTGTGGAACTGAGATCAAATCATCAAAGGTTCTTCTTAAACCTTTATTTTAAAGTTATGTTGAATGAAATTCATTCACAAAAGATTTAGCTTGCTTTTCAGTTAATTCTGTGGAATAATGCAAAGAGCCAACTCATAGCATTAACAGCTTTTCTGGACTCTTGAGGAAGCATGGTGAGGTGGAAAGAGCACTGGCTTTAGAGTCGAACAGAGATGCATGTTATATCAGGATTCAGTCATGTACCTCAGGCAAGCTGCTTAATCTCTCTTTTGTTATTGCTACCAGAAGATGATAATAAATGCAGACCTGGGTGGATTATTAGAAACCACTGAGATAGTATAAACAAAAGGGCCTAGCATAGGGCCCAGAACATAGTAGGACTTCAGTAAATGTGAATTCCCTTCTCCTGGGGCAAGAGGCCCTTGCCTAAACGGTGCCTCACCCATACCCTGGGGGATGTTGGGCCACACACTTGGGGCTGCTGTATAGAAAGAATTGTTCCTCCTGCTAGACAAAACCCAGCAGCCCCAATGTCCTCTCCACTTGCTTAAACCATTAGCTCCGCCCAGGGCCTGTGGAGAAACTGACTTCTCTCACAGTTTCCTGCCCTATGCTCCTGCCACTTGTTACTTACTGGAGAGGTGGAAAGGAAATCTGATCACATAAGGCAAAGGAGATATTGGGGTGGAGGGATTTGGCCAGCACTAGAAATAGCTCAGGGCCCCACCCAGAAACTGCCCTCTAACCCTGAAGAGGAAAGGAAATGGGCAAGCAGCAATCCTATTCCCAGACAGGTGGAGTGGGGATGAAAGAGGCCAGCTGGCCTTCCAGTCAAAACGTTGGCTTTGATCTCAGCAAAGGAAGGAGGGAGGTGCTAACCCTTCTCCACCCCTTCCCCTTTTCCCTCAGCACTCCTTTTGATTTCTGGGTTTTGGTTTATACATTTTTGAGGGGAACATAGTAGTGGGAAGGAAACAAATGGGAAGTATGAAGTGGTGCTGAGGGATGGGAACTGAAGGTAATGGTGACTTTAGGGGACTTGGTCCCTTCTGGACCCAACAGTCAATGAATAAAGAAATGAAAATAGCTCAGTTCTCATTCAGGTCAGCCCAGATCAAGGCACCTTTCTTGATCATTTCTCTCCAGCTCTTGCTCATACAATGTGAACAGTATACACTTAGATATTCAGTCAAGAAGATATTCAGAAGTCTTAAATTTGGTTTTATTCCTTCATAATCCAATTTGCTCACAGGAAACCAAGCCACAAAACTGGAGCAGCCAATTATTTTATCTGTCCCTCAATATTTATCAAGAGCTTACTATGTGCCCAACTAGGTTAGTTCATGGGTTACAAAGACAGTAAGACATGTTTAGTAGGAAGAATTATTATAGTATAGTGTGATGAGAGGTGCAATAATAATACTAAAGATAAAAGTAATAAAACCATTTATTAAAGGCTTATTATATGTCAGGCATCTAAAGTATCTCAGCACTTTTTATGGATTGACTTAGTTCTTACAACCAACCCACATGGAGATACTATTAATTATTTCCATTTTAAGATGAAGATTTGGGGGGCACTTGGGTGGCTCAGTCAGTTGAACGTCCGACTTTAGCTCAGGTTGTGATCTCATGGTTGTTGAGTTCGAGCCCCACATCAGGCTCTCTGCTATCAGCGCAGAGCCTGCTTTGGATCCTCTGTCACCCTCTCTCTCTGCCCCTCCCACACTTGCATGTTCTCTCTCTCAAAAATAAATAAACATTAAAAAAAGTGAAGATTTGAAGTGTAGAATAGTCAGATAACTTGACAGAGGTCACACAGCACATGTAGAGCTGAGATTTGAGCCCAGGTCATTCTGGAGATCAGCACTACTTACTGGAGCCTCTAAATTACCTCAGAAACATTGAAATTCCTTTGATATGGCTCAAGGGTAGGGCATAAGGAGAAATAGGACATGAGGCTGAAGAGGCAGGCATGAATTTTATAGTAGGCGCTGCCCACTCCCCACATTCAGGCATTTGGTCTTATTCCAGACTAGAAGGTTCATGAGGGCAGAACATTGTTTTGCTCTCTGCTGTATTATCAGTTCCCAAGACAGTGCTTGCACCTAGTAGGTTGGTAAGTAACTGTGGGATAAGGAAATGAAAACTTGGGGGAGCTTATAAATGAGGGAATGG